GTCATGAGTGGACTTTTGAAAGCCAAAGTGAAGAATCTTGTCTGAAATGTCTGTATACCATTGGCGGGATGCCTGGCGAAGACCGTAAATAGAATTTTTAAGCTTACAGACCTGACCTGGAGGGATACTGCTGCCTGTTGGAGGAACCATGTATAGATCTTCCTCAATATGGCCATGAAATAAAGCGTTGTTGACGTCAAGTAGATAAACTGCCTAATTCTTTGACGCAACTATGGCAAGTAACAAGCACACAATCACAACTTTAGCAATAGGTGCATACGATTCCTTGAAATTACGACCCAGAATTTGGAGGAGGAATCCCTTGGCAACCAAGCGAGCTTTATATTTGTGAATAGAGCCATCAAAATTGCGCTTAATGCGAAAAATCCACTTGCTAGCAATTGGTGTGATTTCAGAAGGCAAAGTGGTCAGCTCCCAAGTGCCATTCGAGTCCAGATCATGCAGTTCATCAGCAATAGCAGCCTTCCAGATAGAATCCTTCATAGTCTGTGCAAAAGACATTGGTTCTTGACATGAGATATTACATGCATGATTCCATATATGTGCTAAGGGGGATGAGAAGACATAATCCTTATGCCAAGAGGGTTTTTGGCGAAGACGAGGATGGTGAAAAGATTCTCCTTTGGAAAGTGGGGGAGCTGAAGCGGATTCTAAGGAGGGAGCAGAGGTATCATTAGTGGCAGTATCAAAAAGAGCAATGTCAGGTAGAGTATCAATGGTCGGAGAAGATGGTGAAACAGGATAAGGGAGGCTAGACTCATATGTGAAGGATGAAAAGTGTATAGGATCTAATGAAAGGGGAACAGGGGTAGGGGTGGTGATTGAGGCAAGAGAGATGTGAGGGAAAGCAGAGACTGGCTGGGAAAGTGATGGAGAGGATGAACTGGAATATAGGAAAATGGTTTCATAAAATTGGACATCTCTGGAAACAAAGCACTCTTACTTATCAAGATCAAACACTTTAAACCCCTTGTGGCCAAGTTGATATCCCAAGAACAAACATCTTTTGGATCTAGAGTCAACTTTGGATCTGCTGGAACTAAGATCAACATAGTAGCATAAACAACCAAATGTATGGATATATGAGAGAGTGGGAGTGTGATTATGAAGTTTCTCAAAGGGTGTGCACCACCTCAAGATGGCAGAGGGTAATCGATTAAAGATATGAGTGGCCATGAGTAAGGCTTCCCCCCAAAATAGGTTTGGCATGTTTGCTTGGAATAAGAGTGCTTGGGTGATTTGAAGCAAATATTTGTGTTTGATCTCAGCTCTGCCGTTTTGTTGAGGACTATAAGGACAAGATCACTGATGGTTTATGCCAAATTTGTGGAATAGGTGGGTGCACTGTTTTTTCACAAACTCACTACCATTATCAGAACGAATAGTTTTGACAGTGACACCATATTGCTTTTGGATATTGAGGACAAAGTGTTCTATGGCAAGGTAGACTTGTTGTTTGGTTGTGAGTAGAATGGTCCAAGTTACACGAGAGAATTATTAACAATGGTAAGGAAGTAATGGCAACCAGTCAAAGATGCAAATTTGTATGGTCCCCATAAATCGACATGTAAAAGATCAAAACAGGTATTAGAGGCAGACGCACTTTTATAAAATGGCAGTCTATGCTGCTTAGATTTATGGCAAGCATCACAAGGAAAGCTAGCATCAATTACAAGTAGAGAAAGACGTTTCAAAACTTCGTGGGAGGTATGACCCATCCTTCGATGCCACAACCATGCTTCTGATGAAGCAGAGATGGTTGCTGCAATACCAGGAATAGACATGTCTTTTTTATTCAAATGAGGTGTTGCTGGTCCAAGGATATAGAGGTTGCCAAGACGATGTCCAACTCCAAGAGGTTGGCTAGATGTCAAGTCCTGCAATAGACACATAGATGGCGTGAAAGTGAGCTTGCAGGAAGTAGCATTCACTAATGTGCTGACAGAGATGAGATTGAATTTGAATGAGGGAATGAATTTGAATGAGAGAATATAGTATACATTGTGTAGGGTAAGGTGAGGGGACAAAACAACAGTTCCAGAATGAGTCATTGTATAAGAGGTTCCGTTAGGAAGGAATATCTTAGGCTTGATGGAAATTGGATGCAGGGAGAATTAACACATATATGGTAGGATGCACCACTATCAAATAGCCAAGAAGAAGTATCTAATGCAATATAATATGGAGCGATATTACCTGCAAATTCGATTGCAAGATTGGTGAAATCAACTGGAGTATCAGGTGTCTTCCTAAGAAGCTTCTGCAGTTCAGTGCGAACAAGAGCTGCCAAATTTCCTGCAGTGTCTTTACCTTTTTTATCCGTCAGATTGTTGTGTGTGATTTCAGAAACAACACCTACAATATTTCTCCGCTGCTCTTGCATATCTTTTTACCAGAAAGAAACTCCATGGAGTTTAAAGCAGGTATCTCTTGTGTGGCCTTTACGCTTGCAAAAATCACATATAACGTTCCCTTTGTCCATTATTTATTTATTCTTGTCTCCCATCATTCTAGTCTGATTAGATCTTTTGACTTCAATCGCAGCTACATTTTGATTAGCAAATTCTAGAGTTTTGAATTGTAACTCCTTCTGTTTCTCAACTTGCAGAAGTAACGCATAGGTGCGGCTCATAGTTGGTAAAGGATCCATTAAAAGAATCTGGCCTCAAAGAATTTCATAAGTATTGTTCAAGCCAGTAAGGAATTGTATAAGTTGTTTTCTGTCTAGTTGTGCACCATTTAGTTTGTTGACATTGCAGATGCACTTACCACACGAGCAACTGACTGGAGGATCAATGGCAGTTAATTCATCCCATAGTTTCTGCATTTTGGTGTAGTAAGTAGAGATTGAGTCTCCTCCTTGAGTCATGGCAGAGATACTTTTCCGTAACTGAAAAATGAGAGATGAGTTGTACTGGCCATACTTCTCTGCTAGGTTGTCCCAGAGTTGCTTGGCTGTGGGAGCAAATACAAATGCATCTTGGAGATCTGGTGCAATTGAGTTTCTAATCCAGGCTATAACCATTGCATCTGCTTCGATCCAGGCTTCATATGTTGGATCATCAATTGAAGGCATGGACAGTTGATCTGTGATAAAGCTCAGCTTGCCTCTTGCCATAAGGGAGGTCCGAAACGTACGAGATCATGTGATGAAATTGTTACCATTAAGGGGAATTGTAGATAAAGAAAAACTTAGATGATTACCAGATTGCAGCATCAAGGCTTTAGGGAGCATGGGAACAATAGCTCGAGAGGTGTTTTGAGTTTCAGCCATGGAAACTCAATTTGCAGTAGAGATCTACTGTGATACCATGATGAACAAATAGAAAGAAAGAAATCCAGAACAGAGGAATATCAGAGAGATATATATATACAGGGCTAATCCATAAAGTTTTAAAAAAGAATATATTGTACAACAAACTTGTAATCAACTATATACACATCAGCAACCTTGTGGTCCAAGCTGCTTTATCGTATCCCATAAGCTTGCAAGTAAATCAAATCAACTCCATAATTCATCAAAAATTTAATGTTCATAATCAAAGATCTTAATTAGATGTTGTAATAGGGCCATGATTGGGGTAGAAAAGAGGATATCAATGGCTAATGGAACCCGATGAATTAATCTATCAATTCATCACATCACAATAAGCGCAAGTCGCATACATGAATAAACAAGAAAATAACAACACTGCACAAACAATGATCAATGCAAGACAATAACATACTTTTTTTTTTCACGAGTCTTTTTTTTTTTAAGACTCAGAATATTTTCTTCCTTTTTCTCTTTTTATTTTTATTTTTTATTTCAAAGGGGCTAGATAATGAGATATTTTTTGGCAAAAATATATATGAATCTATAATTGTGCCATAATATCAAGACTTTCAAGTACAAGTCTGGAATAATATTATATAATAAATGCAACTCTAAATAATCTAATGTAATTAATCAAAAAACAATCTCTCAAGTTCTCATGGTTCAAGTAAACATTTGGCTTAATCCAATAAAAAAATTTATCGGCTTGGGGTTAAGTATAAACCAAGAAATATAGGATAATAACATTAAGTTCAAAGTTGGTTCACTAGGGAATAATATAGGTAACTGCATGAAATTAAGGCCAACATGTGTAATCCTAATGCCTTATAATTTTAATCCCATCAATTCTTAATAAACGCGGAGTTAATAAGCATAAACAAGCAAAATTTAGGTAATCAAATACAACATATGTTCACACAATCCAAGAAAAAATTGAGCATGTATATAATGAATTTGCTCAAATAAGGCTCAAAATAACTCATTTAAGGTTCGCTAAACACATTCATTAGGAGCATGTATACGCAATTCGCACCCAAAAATCGCCCAGAATATGACAAAGTATTTATCTAATATAGCATATATCAACTATTCTAGGAAATCACAAAACTAATTTTAAAAAAATTTGTGTAAGTAATTGTTAAATTGTATTAGATTCTTTTAGTTCGGAATGCGGATAGATTAGTACATTTTTTTGTTGCATCGCTAAGGTTCCAGTCCAATTACAAACGTAGTTAACGAGTGTACCCTGATTGTCAAATAAGTAAGAAAAAGATGATTATTTAGCACGTACAGATAGTTATAACTAATCTATTTAAAAATTTACGAGATTGAATGTTTATCAATATTTTAACTATCCAAATTATCAATTTCAAATACAGACAATCTTACTATTGTTGAAATTAAGCTTTCGTTGTAAAATTTTTAATAATCTTTTAATTCACTATTATATCTATAGATGTTTTAAGAAGAAAATTTTACTCCAAGCTATATTAGTTTATTTTTATTATAAAAATAAATATATTATATTTAATTCTTCAGGGCATTGACAAGGTGTCACAATAAATTACAATATCTATAAAAATATATTATTTTTTATCATAAAATATCATCAAACCCATTATTCATATATATATACATAAAATTACTGGCCACAATGCTGCTTATAAACAAATCGGCACAAAAAAGCCATTCCGAAGTTACATCACTCGCTCTCAAACAAAGCCCCAACTTTTCAATCACTTACTTTCCATATGTGTCTCATTTATATATATTTTTTTAGTATGAGCAAAAAGAAATTACATTCGAAATATTTTTTAAGTAATATTGTCACCAATGAACACACATAATACATTGTCATTTCTTTTAGGTTTTCAGTAATATCGTGATTTCAAATATATGGGATCATATTTCATACGTCATTCCGACTCTGAGCAGCCTGGTTTGTGGAATGGCCAGCACTTTCTCGCCCTGCCGGAAATTCTTCCTCAAAAATGGATACCCATAATTGATCACAAACTTCTTCAGCAACGACGCCTCCGCCTTGGCCACCACCTCCGCTTCTCCGATCAGATAGAAAACTCCTTTCTCCATCGCCTTCTGCACCACTTCAATCTCCTCCTCTCCCGTCATCCTGCTCGACGATTGCGCCGATCGAACCTGTATAGATCCCGACGACACGCGCGGCGTCTCCTCCTCCTCCGCCACCACGTGAACAGCAGACGCCGACGATCTTCTACTCAGCATCCCCGACTGCGGAACTCTGCCGCCGCCGGCGTCGGAATTTTGGTCCTCCGGATCGGCCGCTCCGTCGAGTATGAAATTCTCATTGCGGATGAAGTTCTTCAGATTCTCCACCAGCTGCCTCTCGAATTCCTGCGGCTCCTCGATGTGATCTTTGTATCCGTACCTATTCCAACATTTTCTTTCTAGTTGTTAGAAATTTCGGGGGAAAATAATAAAATTGTGTTATTGATGGTGAGAATAAAGAGCCTGTAATCTAATTTATTAATAAGATCAAATCTAAATATAAATCTACTAAATTTAAAACCGAATATCTAAAATATGTCAACATCCCCTCAAACTCAAGTGGTATAAGAGAAACCAGTTTGAGTTTGATAAGAAAGTTGAATACAGACATGCAATTAAAAATAACTGTTATAGACTCAAATATAAGTAATCTAATTTATGAATCAGATCAAATTTAAATATAAAATTACTAAAATCTAAAATCGAAAATCTAAAATATCTCAGTATCCCTTCAAACTCAAGTGTATAACAGAAACCAACTTGAGTTTAATAAAAAAGTTTAATACATACGCAAATAAAAATAACAGTTATAAACTCGAATCTAAGTAATTTAATTTATAAATAAAATTAAATCTAAATATAAATCTAAAATCGAATATTTAAAATAACTCAACAATTGTTATATTGAAGCTTACTAGTGTTCAACTTCAAATCAACATACATAACTACTTATATATGATATGATATGTGTACCTGACAACGCAGCGGAACACTCGATAGGACTTAGGCTCGACTTGGCGGAAGAGGAAGCGCTCGTCCAAGGCAACTTTGCTTATGGGGATCGACTTTATGGAGACGAGCACGACGACAGAGTGGATAGACGGGACGTTGGAGAGGAAGTGCGGAAAGATCTGCGGGATCCCCTGCACCAGCTCCGAGTAGAGTAGCCCGATGCCCGGTATCCGTTGTATGTCGTGGTTGTTAACCAGCTCTTGCACGTAGGAACTCGAAACCTTGTTTGTAAGCTCGTATATATACCGTTGTTGTTGCGCGTAATGCCAAATTCCCATCATCATCATCAGCACCAGAGCCAACGCCAACGGGAGGTACCCGCCCTGAGTGAACTTATACAACACCGATGAGAAGTACACGAGCTCAATCGACATGAAAACCGCGAAGAAAACAACGATCCACAGGAGTTTCGTCTTCCAAATCATCAACATTATCAGGGTGACCAAACATGTGGTGATCAACATCACGGCCACCACGGCAATACCTGTCCACGACGACGATTTTGAATTAGCTACTAGTATCGCGCATGTTTTTTGTTTTTTTTTTGAGTTGTAAGCATAAGACACGGTCTTACCGTAAGCGTGGCCTATTGCGTCGGTGGTCTTGAAAGCGTAGGTCACTACGACGCAAGCGATCATAAGAAGGTAGTTAACTTCGGGGATGTAAACTTGGCCCTCGTATTTTGTCGAAGTGTGAACAACTTTAACTCTCGGGAAACAGCTCAAGGCTAGGGATTGAGAGATGATTGCAAACGCTCCGGAGATCATCGCTTGACTTGCTATAATGGCGGCGGCGTTAGCCACGATGAATGTAGGCCAATAAAGTGGATCTATTCGCCACACAAAAAGCTCGATTGTGAGTAAGCAAGAGCAAACATCAATATTATATGACCAAAGTAGGAGCTCACCGGGGATAGAATCGTAGAAGGTATCTTTAACATGCTCGGGGAACTTGGTAAGATACGCGGCTTGTCCAATATATGCTGCGAGTAGAGAAGGGAACACGATCCCGGAGAAACTTATCTGCGAGCGCCATCATTCATGTAATGTAATGTAAGATTTCATTCGACGGCGTATAATCTTAAAATCTTAATCTTAAACTTACTTGGACAGCAAGAACATTGAAATGTCCTAAATCAGCAAACATGGCTTCGGTTCCGGTGATGCAGAGCACGATGCCGCCTAGCGACACCCATCCATCCTTGCCATTTCTCCGGAAGTAGTCGACTATGTACACGGGATTGAAGGCGCGCAGGACGCGGATGTCGTGCTTGAACAAGTTGTAGAGGCCGATTCCGGAAATAAACAAAAACCATAAGCATATAGCCGGAGCGAACGAGAAGCCCACCTTATCGGTGCCGAAGCGCTGAACGCAGAACAGAGCAACCAAAATGGCAATGGAGATGTACACAACAGCATCTGCCGTAACCACAGCAATTCAGACACGATATAAATACAGAGGCGAAAATCAAAACTCTGCGCGAGCGATTATACCTTTTCCGAGACCCTTGATTCCTCCGACCGCAGAAAGAACTGCGCAGGAACTACAATTAATTACGGTTCGGTTCAGACAATATGTATGTATATATATATATATATAATCTGACCGGAGATGCAGGGAGTGAGAACGCCGTCGCCGATGACCATGGAAGTGCCGAGAATGGTGGCGAGGAAGAGGAGGAGCTTAGCAGACTTGCTTCTCTCCACCTTGTCCTTGATCTTCTCAGCTCTTCGCAGCTGCTTCGACGGAGTGTCCAGTCTGTAATTCGAAAGCTGTCTGTCCTCGGGCTCATCGTTGGGGATGAAACTCACCTTGGCGTAGCGGCAGATGAGTGAATACAGCGCGAATGTGCCTCCGTCGCCATTGTCGTTGGCCCAGAGGACGAGGAAGACGTACTTGATCATGGGGACGAGGATGATGGTGTAGATGATGAGGGACAGGACGCCGAGGATGTCGTCCTTGTCGCGAATCTGGTCGGTGAAGGTGCTGGCGTACACGTACAGAGGAGAGGTCCCGATGTCGCCGTAGATCACGCCGATGCTCTGGAAGGCCAGGCTCATGGTCCTAGACCAGCTCGCCTGCTGGGAGGACTGGTGCTCGCCCTTGCCCAACACGTTTCCGGCCTCCTGTTTCAGGGAGTCCACGCGCCGGAGCCTCCCCCACGACACTTTCCGATCCCTCATTACGTTAGGGTTTTCCTCCTCCGCCGCGGCTGTGCTGCCCTGGGGCTGATGATCTTCTGTAACTCCGGCGCCGGCCATTGTGGTGTGTGTGTTGTTAATGGAAGGGCTGAACTGGGGAGGGGATTATATAAGGCTCGAACTCCGCGGCCATCAAAGTCAAACGAAGGAAGCAGATCGATGGATGACCATGCATTATTAAAAATAAATAATACCATTTCTCATTTTCTTTCCAAAACAAGGTTAAGGTTTTCTAAATGAGTAATTGTACAGTCTAATATAATAAATACAATTTTAAATTATAATATACTCCATCTGTCATTCTATATATCATGTTGTTCAGGTTGCCATTTTTGTCCGTTCTACGTACTATGTCACTTTTTCTTTTTGAAAAATAATAATTATTTTTATTAATACATTCTTAATTATCTACTAATTATACCCCTCCTAAAATACCGTGTCTACAACGTAGCAGACAACGGTATCTGGGACAAAGGGAGTATTATACAAATATCATTATTTTTATATTATACTATACTAATAAAAATATTTTTAATATTTTTAATGCAATCCAATATAATACTAATATTAAAAAATTTAAGAACAAAAAATAAATGACACCCTTTCAAGAAGACTGATGGATGGAGTACTAGTATTTTAAGGATTGTTCACTGTGTTTTTAGATTTATATACTATTTTATATTTAATTGTTAAATTTTTTGTAATAATAGTATTTGTTAAAAATAGTTCCACTTACAAAATACTAACTACAAAATTTAAGTTTTGGTTGAAATTTTTTAATTATTTAAAAATAATCTAATTTAGTGTTTAATGTGATGTTTTTTAAAACATAAATAAATATTCAATTAAATCTTTTTTTCAAAAAAAAAAGTTATTGTTGTCTAAAATTATATAACTCGATTTACAAATCTATTTTTTTTTTTTACTTCTTAATACTCTTTTTATAGTAGTTTTTTCAAATATAATATTAAGGCTGTATTTGACAATTAGCTGATAGTTGTTACTTGATTCGATTAGTTGTTAGCTGTTAGTTGATTCAATTAGCTAGTTTGATTAGCTGATTTGATTAGTTGTTTGTATTAAAGTGTTTGGTAAAATAGCAGTTTGATATTAGTTGTTTGTATATAAAATGACAATTAAAGACATTTTATATTTTATTTTCAAAATATTTAGTTGAATTTTTTCGGTCGGTAGACTTTTAAAAATTTTATTATTAATATTTAAAATTAGAAAATTTTAGTAAGATATTTATTTTTATTATTTTAAAAATATTTTTTAAAGAATTAATGTAAATTTATTGAAAAATATTTTTTTTTCATTAGAAATAGTATAAATATAAAAGAGCAAAAATTATTAATTAGATTAATTTTTAATTAATATATATTTACATTAAATTTATAATTTTAAATAAATATATTCATTTTTAATAAAAATATTATGTGATAAAAAGTGCTATATAATTAATTCAATAATATTAATATTTTTATATTATTTTTATTCTAAAAAATTAAAAAAATTATAAATAAGATAAATGACATATAAAAAAATAATTATTTTAAATTTATAAATATGAATTTATAAATTATTAGAAGAAAATATATCTAAATAAATAATAATAATAAGTGTAATAAAAAAAAAATATAAATATATGTGAAAGAATTAATTAATTTTAAGGGCAAAGGAATAAGAAAAATTTAAATGAAAAAGTTAATTTGAAACGTTGGTATATACAGTTTGTTCAAAATTAACTTTTTGGACCCAACAAGCTAATTGAAAATGCTAAACACCAAAATTAGTTGGTTTACTGGTCAAACAACTAAAAAATTTTCAATAAGCTAAAAACTATTGAAAAAACTGTTTATCAAACTCCTCAATATTGTTTTTATAAAATATCATATAGAATATTATATTAAATATCAATGTGGCAGTGATTTCAGTTTTTTCAAAAACTTCAATTTTGTTTGTTTTGTGTTTTGATTTAATGTTTTTTGTTTTAGATATCAAATATTGTATTAATAATATAAAAATAATATTTTATATTAAATATTAATTTTTATAAAAAAATAATATATATATATATATTGAAAATCTAATAAAAAAAAAATATTGGCAAACAAATTCTGGTAACCTAAATATTTGTGTTTATTTTATATTTTAATTTGAAAATATATTTTTTTATACAAGGTATACGAAATTATATAAATAATATAAAAATAATAATTTTATGTAATATATTAATTTTTTTTAAAAAATATATTGAGAAAGTTATATTTTTTAAAAGAACAAAGCTTTTAATTTGACCAAATATAATTTGTGTGTGTGTGTGAGTGGCGGTTGTTGAGGAGGCCGAGGTTTGATCCCATTGGTTGGGAATATTTTATGTGTATTATTGATGCTATTTGGATTCTTTTGTAGCTGTCTGTACGGTGGTGGTGCGTATGTATGTATATCAGTATATACAATAATAATACATATGGTGTTTGCCTCCGATTGGATTTTAAATATATTATTGATCTTATTTTTTTTAAAAAAAATATTAAATTAAATATTAAATTTTTTATTTTTTATATTATTTTTAAAATTAATTTTATATTTAAAATATTATATCAAATATCTATTTATATCATATTATACAATTATTTAAATTTAAAATTTTTACTATTTAAATTTAAACTCAAAATCCAAACCCCCAAACAAACACACCCATAATGTATTTTACTGTTCAAATGGTCGATTTTGTCTGTTTCTCTCTCTATATATATTATATTAGACGTCTGGTCGGTTTTGTCTCTCTCTCTATATGTATATATATTAATAATATTAAACGTCTTGGCTATTGGTATATATCTGTGAGCTAGTTTGGCTCGTAGGATTTCAACTCAAATTGTATTATTTATTAATTTTCTAAATATTAAATTTTATTGTGTATACTATACTTAGAATAGAGTAAATTTCATAATATTTCATCTCAAAATGTATTATTTATTAATTTTTCAAATATTAAATTAAATGTTTATATTTTATTGTGTATATTATACTTAAAATTGAGTAAATTTTATGATATCTCATTATATTTTAGTATAAATATATAAAATATTTGATATTTTATTTATTGTGTAAAATTCTTTTATCAAATTAAAGTATGTACTAAATATTCTTTTCGTCCAAATATTAAAAAAAATTGTTAATTGTGAAAATTTGATTTAGATTTTAATTCTGCAAAAAATAAAATCACAGAAAATAATTTCTTGTCAAATTTATGTCACCACTTCTTGTTATAACTATTCTATTTGTGGTAATATTTGCAGAAAAAAAAAAAACACATAATTTTTTGTAACTATTTAAATTAGTAGTTTACGTAATGAAAATATCCAAAATATTTCAATTTCATATCTTTTGACTATTTTGTCATAAATTATTAAAATATATTTTGAATATACATTATATTTATGATAGTTGTTTATTAAAGTGATTTGTAGGTTTCTTAACAGATTTAGATTGATTTGTACGTCATTAATTATAAATATATACGAGTTCTTATCATTAAAATAAAGAATTTCAACTTCGTATTTCAACATGGTATAGACCAAATTCTCTTCGGGTATATGCATGACTCGTTATATCGCATATTTATTGATATGGTTGTTGATGTATGTGTCTTTACCACGTCGTCTTTCCCATTTCGATCTAGGAGTGAGCAAAATATTCAAAATCCGATCCGAACCAAACTAAAATCTAATATTTGGTTCGGATTTTTTAAATTGATTCGGATTGAATATTTTATAAATTTTGGATTTCGGATCGATATACTAAAATTTCAAAACAATCTAAAATTCAAAATATAATATTTTAATATATTTTATTACTCTATTATATATTTTTCATATTTTAATATTTTAATTAAAATAAGAACTAAAAATGATTAATTATATATTTAATATACTTATTTTTATTTATTATATATATATATTTAATAGTATAAAACAATTATGAAAAATGAAATACAATATAAAATTTTAAAAAATAAATAAAAATTTTGAATTTTTGGTTCTGTTCGGATTTCGGTTATTCGGATCGGATCGGATTGATTTTTGCTAAAATATCAGATTTTCAGATCGATTTGGATTTGGCGAAATCCGAACCGAAAATCCGAATGCTCACCCTTACTTCGATCTCCACCAAACATAATTCTACTTCTGACTCTAATTTCATTAAGGGTTCTATTTTTTTTTTTTTTTATTCGAACTCCATTCAGAGTGAGCGAGTTATTTTTTTCAACTCTAGCTTTTTTTTAGAGTGAGCAAATTCTGTTTCTGACTCTAACTCCGCTGTGAGTGAGCGAGTCTTGTTTCGAACCTAACTCTGATAAGTACGAGAAAATCATGTTTCCAACTCTAACCGCGTTGAGAGAGTTAGTTTCGACTCTGATTTCATGGATGATTCTGGCTACATTACTTTATGTCACTTTTGACAAACTTAACTTGGTTCAATTCTGTAAAAATATTTTATAAAAATTGAAAAATTGTATTATTTAATTATCAAAATAAATGATTTATATATAGACAACAGATTCGATAGACTCAAATTTAAATAATCTAATATATGGATAAGATCAAAATCTAGTAAATTTAAAACTGAATATCTAAAATATTTCAACATCCCATCAAACTCAAGTGGTGCAATAGAAATCACTTTGAGTTTGCCAAGATAGATCTAAGATGACACAACCCATAATCGTCCATCATGTCAGAATTAGAAACAATGCCCCCAACTAAATTAGAAATAAAAACATGGAACTCTTACTAGATGAGGAAAACACGAATCTGGAAAACACAAAACTCTCACCAGAGCCGAAAAATACGGAATTGGAAAATACGGAACTCTCACCAGAGTCCGGAAAACAACGAAACTCTCACTAGAGTCGGAAACACGGAACTCCCCCCGGAGTCCGGAAAATACGGAACTCTTACTGGAGCTCGGAAAACGACGAGACTTTCAATGCAATCAGAAGCAACGGTTTGTACTGAACCATGATAAACGATCAAAGGCCAAACTAGAACGAA